AGAAAATGGAGGGTAAGTTTCTCTCGCATTATTCCTCATGAAGTCTTATAAATATCGATTGGAATAGTATTCGCGCACAATAATGTCCTACTGAAAATCAATGCGACATGTAGAATATCTAAAATATATAATAAGAAAGAATACATGCACGTATGCCTACACTTCATTTGTATGCAGTAGTCCATTGGTATCAAGATTGTCTTAAGTAAAATCTTACGATGATAATACACAGCTCTGTCTGATTTATGATATCTTAAGACTACATTTAAGACAGTTTTAAATATAAGAATCGACTATGAATATAAGTTTCTGATTGATTCATGACATCTTAAACTTATAATTAAGATGTTTTTAAATATAAATATCAGCCTATGTATGTTATCTTTTGTTACAGGACAGTTATTGGTTTACGAGGGAAGGATGGCGTAGTATTTGCTATTGAAAAGATAGTAACATCGAAGCTCTATGAACCAGGTGCTAATAAACGAATATTTAACATAGATCAACACGTTGGTATGGCAGTCTCTGGTATAATATCAGATGCAAGACAGATCGCAGAGACTGCGAGATCAGAGGCTGCTAGTTACAGGGCACAATATGGAGTCGGTATTCCATTAAAATATTTAAACGAAAGAGTTTCTATGTATATGCATGCGTATACCTTATATTCTGCTGTACGTCCATATGGTTGCTCTGTCCTGCTCAGTGCTTATGAGACAGATGGTCCAACATTGTATATGATTGACCCATCAGGAGTATCATATGGTTATTATGGCTGTGCAGTAGGTAAGTGAAAGGTCTGTTTTAAAAAAAGATGGAATGTAGACCTATATTCAAAGTTAGTCTTATATTTAAAACTTAAGTACAATCTTAAAATGTTATAAATCAATCACAAAGCAGTATTACAAGATGTTACTTAAAATGATCTTGAAATAAAAATAGACCATGAATACTAGCCATATAGAAATTGATGTTTTGTGATATTATCTACAGGTAAAGCAAAACAGTCAGCTAAGACGGAAATTGAAAAATTGAAATTATCAGAAATGACTTGTAAAGATTTAGTTAAAGAAGCTGCTCGTATTATCTACCTTGTCCATGATGAACTTAAGGATAAACAATTCGAATTGGAAATGAGTTGGGTTGGTGCACATACTAAAGGAATTCATCAACGTGTGCCAGCAGATTTAAAAGCTGAAGCCGAAACGAAGGCACGACAGGCAATGGCAGAAGATTCGGACAGTGACACTGAGGATATGTAAAATGATATATAAATATTGCCGTGAAAATTCTTTATATTGTAAGCGATAATATTAAATATAACATTAATACACACAAATATATGCATTGATTAATGTTTTTAAATGATTGAAACAAGTAAAGAATATAATTATGATGCTACAAATTTCTAAAGAGCTATGATCTTTCTTTTGATCTTATAATTTTTTATGAAAAGGAATTTATCTCTTATAATATTTTCTCTTGACTACCCCCCACTAATGCAACACTCAGTGTACTTCCACGGCTATGGTGTACTGCAAATTTTATGCATGAAATAGGATTTTGCTACACCATCTCAAAGGGATGGTGTAGAGTCAGTGTGACATTTGAAAATTGAAGTCAAACGGGAACAGGATTTTAATGCAATAATGAAATAATGTATGCTGGTGTGTACCACTCTAGTGTAACTGACTGTAGTGCTTACACACAACTGGTGCGATGCAAGGCTGCACTCAGTGTATCCCAAGAGAAAACGCTATTACTTAACGTTCACTTTAGAGAATTAGACTTATTTTAAAGCTTATTTTTAAATGTAAAATGAAATATTTCTAAAACTGATTATCATTCATCTAATAATTCTAATCTTTAAATCTCCATTCTCATCTTCTTAAAAAAACTGAGGCATACATTGATCAAGGATTCACAGAAAACGAATCGATTCTTATATAAGCTATGCATTCTCATTTTAAAGTTTTATTTGTTAATCTGGAAGCTTTTTTTTTTCCAAATGTACTGCAATTTGCTTATTTTCAGTTAATTCTAGAATCATAAACTATTGTAAGGTATTGTTTGATGCGTATTTACGATTTAGTTATGATTTTAGTTTATGATTTTAGAGTTAACTCTTCAGAATTAAGTTTATATTTCAGATATTTTGTTATGCAAGATATTTTCCTATAAAATATAATTTTAGTATCATAATACACGTAGTAAATACGATCGAACTAAATTTAAAATATTTCATTTGACCGGCGACTAACAATCTAAGTTATTTAGTATCTTTCTTAAATAAAGAATATATATATATATATCTTCTTTAATTTTTAAAATA